TGATGATTATCCCTGACTTCTGAACAGCTTATATAAGAGCTTTTCTGTCCCTTTAGGGTAAACATGATTTGTTCATTTTACAGGTGAGAGAGACCCAGTGACTTACCCAACATCTCAGCAAATGAGCAGCACAGTGCAGACATTAAGAAAAAGACATTAAAAAAAATTACCTGAAACTTGGACATAAGGCCAAGAGTATGTAGCACATCCTTTCAATGTCACTGAGACAGTGGTTAATAAATAACCCCCGAGGAGTAATAGTCTTGGAAAATATACCTTTATTTGATTCTGCTATCAACTTAAAGCTTAAACTTTTACTAAGTTTACTTTCTTAAACTTTCTAAAGTTGCATGTTAACTTCAAATCCCATTGGGGAGAAATGCAAATAATTCCTACTAAGTAGAAAAGGGAACACCAAAGACTTCCTCTTCCATTGGACAATAAAGTTTTCAGTTGAACCTAGCTAGCTTATCCAAACATTTTGCTTTTGAAATACCTATAAATACACAGTTCCCCAAAATGTTCTTTGAACAGGTTTAGCATCTTACCATCACTCACAATGAATTAATATATCTCTCACACATCTTCAGCCTCTATTTGCATGAAAATTATGCTTTTAAGTTTCTTAAAATTCTATTTCTTTCTATATCCTGAATCCAGTATGTCTTCCTCCAAAACATCACTTTTATGAAATGACATGCACACACACAGTCAGGTCTCCCTCATCTTCCCTGCCAAATAGAAGTTACTCAACTTGAGTGACGCAGTCAGCCGGGTATGTGCTAAGAGAAACGGAAAGGCACTTGAAGTCTCCCTAACTGGCCTGGCATTTCCACCACTAAAGTTCTCAGGATTATACAGATTCATCATATTGACTTCAAAAGCCTGCTCTTGACAATGGGGACAGCCAGCCCACCACACAGCAAGGAAGAGGCTTTGAACCAGGTTCCTAGGGCCGCTGATGGACTGGACCGCTGCTCCCAGCTGGCTTACACAGAATGACCAACACATCTTCAGCTGGGTTTGCAAATGACAGTTTTGTGAGGTGACAGAAATGCTGAGGAGAGTAACTCAGGTCCTGCCTGGGAAATGTTCTCTCTGGATGAAATGAAGTGACCCTCCAAGGAGCAAACCCATGACTTAGATTTCATTCCCAACTCACTCCAAAGCATAAAAACTCACCACTCCAGTGGCACAAAGAAAACACAGGGAGGCAAAGAGCTGAGTGAAGCTGGCAAAGGCCTTCATTTTACATACTTCACAGGCCACTGACAACTTTTCACACTTTATTGTACAAACTATCTGAGCCATTATTAGGTCATTTGACCCACTGTCTTTTGAAACCTCTCTAAGTGCAAAAAAAAAAAAAAAAAAAGCAACTAATAGCTCCAAGAATAGAAGGTGAGAGGGAGTTTTAGCCTGACCATGGTCTGCTAGGCAGATTTGCTGGCTGCAGGCGCTTCCCAGCAGTCCATGTCCCTGCCAGGGAGCCTCAAGCCTCAGCTCTGCTCATTCTGAAGGACTTTCTTGTGCATGTGTTGCCCCTGGTGCTCCTTTTCCATACCGTGTATGTAGCATTGACTATGTATGCCAGGAACTGAGCTGCCTCCTAGTGGGTGGGCACAGGGGAATGGAGTCTGGAGTCCACCCTCAAGGGTTTTCCTGTCCATTGGGAGATATAAGGTATACATCAAAATGCCTCTCATTTGTAATAGAAAGTAACTAGTAATTCACAAATACTAAAAATCACTCTGTGCTTGTTAATGTACACTGGGCATGCAGTGGTCAGCAAGACAGACAGGCCCTGCCCTAAGTTGAGTGGTTCAGTAAACAATTTGTTGAAAGAGGACTAGTAACATTTGTTTTGCACCTACTGTGGACCAGGTTGTGTGCCAGGCACTTGCTAATTTAATTTCCTCCCACCCCCCATACTATCTTCGGTAGGTGATGTTATCCCTATTTTTAACAAATGAAAAAAGAAGGAATTGATGTTAGAGAACTTTCCAAAGATCATGCAGATGGTGAATAGCAAAGAAAGGATTTGAACACAGAATCATCTGAATTCAAGGATCCTATGTTTACCTGACTACATTTATTATTAGCATTTGAAGGTATAACGTCCTTCTGTGCTATTGCAACTTGATTGGGGAGCCTCACAGGACAGAGATTGACAAGCAATAAGGCACCCACTACTAGTGCCAGATGAGGACTAACAAAGCCCTGTGTACACCTCCCGACATGTGATTAACACTTGCTCTGTCTCTGGCTGTTCCTTGGTGTTCTCTGGGATCAACTGTGTATGATCCATTATCTTCCTTCTGATAAAATGGGAGAATGAATGGCAGTGAAGAGGGAATAAAAGTGATTTTCAGAGACAGGGACACACCCTTAACCCTTCCTTCGGGATCCCTCCAGCAGGGCTGGCCCCCACGCAGTACACAGCCAGCACACGGCCAAAATGAAAGTCCATGTGGCCTCCACCCCCAAAATGTCATCCCCTCTCCTCCCAACATTTTGCCTTCACCCAAAGAAATCATCTTAATTCCTTCTCTTTTACTGTCTTTGGGGAAAAGTAGAATTCAGGACTTTCATAACTTAAACCCTTCAGAATAAAGTCTAAAAGACCAATGGTAGCTCAGTCCTGCATGCCCAGCTCTGCAACACCGTCTCTCCCAGCACACCCTGGAGACCCGGAGACCTACCAATTCCCTCCCCAGTGCACTCTGGGTAGCTCTTGGCCATCGTAGGGAGTCAGCCCTGATATCTCCTCCAGAAATTCTCTGACCTTGCTCTTGCAGGGCCCCTGCTGCATATGCTAACGTCCCACCAGCGCACATGCGCACACGCACACACACGTATCTATGTATATGCATGGACACACAGGAATGCCCCCACCGCCTGCTCCCACACCCTCCAGACTGCCCTACTATAGGGTTTCCTGCAATGCCCCTTGCCCAGGCTTTGCCAGTAAGCCCCCCGTTTCCACTCTCCAAGGCAGGAGAAACTGTATCTGGTTTTCCTGCTCCCAACACAGAGCATAGTTCAAAAACCCACTGAGCAGTCAAGGAAGGGGAGGATAGAGAGATGATCTAGGTAACCTCACCCCTTCCTGAACTGGCTCTTGCCTCCAGCCTAGTAAAATTCCCTGGATGCAAAGCTGCCAAAGGAGAAAAGGGTGAGGCCTGAGGGAAAGGAGGTTGTTCTCTGGAGAAAACTTGAGCAGGGGCTCCAGGGCTCCAGGGGAAAAGGTCAGAGCCATTGCTTAGACATATTAAAAGTGCCCAGCGGGTCTATGAGGATGACTTGGCTCCTAGTGCTGCCTCCACAGATGACCCTGAGCCTGTAGCTGGTGGGAGGGGCCCAGGGGGGTCTCAGAAACAGCTGCCCCTGGCTGCTTGCACTGGGCTTACAGAGGCAGGAAATTCCATGTTGTAATGGCTGGACTTCTTCCCTTCATTCCTGATCTGTGACTAGGCAGTGAATTGGTCTTTAAAGAGACCATTCAGACAGATTTCAGGAAATCTGACTGGCCCCAAAGCATACAGGAAGAGGAAAATGTAACAGGACAAAGAGCTCTAGGCCATGCTGTCTCACCTTCATTTCCATTGAGAGCCTGATTGACCAAAGAAAAATGTTCAAATGCTGTCTGTCAGCATTGTCACCAGGTGTCGGAGGACCTGGGGTCTCCACTTAGAAATACACATTTAAAAGCTCATCTTGAGTAGCTACAGTCGTGTTATCAAACTGAACACATTAATCTGAGTAGATTAGAAAATTTTTTCCCATTAACTAGGGAGGCAGTACGTTTACACAAGTGCTTGGCAAAGAATGTGCCATTAAGAAGTACTCTGCATGCACGTAGCCCATGAAACTCGGAAAACAAGTAAAAGTAGAATCAGGAAGAAATCAGCAACTCTGAGCAGCTGCCCAGAGGAGCTGGCTGGCATAGGTGAGAAGCAGGGCTATAAAAGGTTGCTCTTCAGTATAACTTTAATTTCCTGCACAGCCCATGGTCAGAAGAACCAAAAATCATCTTTACATTACACTGGCACATTTTTTAATCAACTGAATAAAAAAATCACATTTTCCCTCATATTTTACTTTTTTTCCAAGAAGAGATGGCTATTTTATTTTATTTTATTTTTTTTTTGGAAACTTACATTTGCTCTTTCCAGTCACCAAGAGAATTGTATTACTCTTGCATTTGATCTATTCAGTCTCAGTTTAGTTGCAAGTCGAGACTTTATTTCATTTCCAGACATGTACAGAGTGGTTGGGATCCCTTTATTACTTCTCACGTTCGGACACAATTGTTCGGCAAAGCAGTAATCCTGCTGGGTAAATCAAACTCTCTACTTTTCACTCTCTATACACCCCTTAGGTATGTAAAATTAAACCTGAACAACCTCTCATTCTGCAGCTAAGATTCATAATTGTAATGAATCCACTAAAGTACAAGAATATTCTGTTAAAAAATAGAACTTCAAATTAATGGTAAGCCTTTCTTTTTTCATTATGAGCTTTGCCTTACAGACCATAAAATATGTCGGTGGGTTCATATCTTTTGTTGTCAGGGTTTTATTAACACTTTGAAGAAAGACAAAAACAGAGATTTCTAACAACAATGTTACTTAGCAATTCTTTATCCTGAAAAGGGCTCAAACCAAACCAAAGAAGAAAATACCCTAAGCTAAAAAGGGGTCAGCATCCTGAGAAGCATGGTATCCCCACCTCATCAAGATCAAAGAGCAGTGTAGGGTGCCCAAGAGGTCCCTATAATAAATTGTACCTTGGTTAAGAAATGTGCACTCGGTTCAGCCTGTCTGCTCTCAATGTAGCCCAAGTCACCATTCATTTGGAAGTCATGCTGTCAACTTGGTTTAGAATCTGCATGGGTGAGGCACACACATATTCCTGCTGCCCAGGGAGATGTTGGCCTGGAGATATGGGGAGCCTGCTGATTGAAGTTTGCATTAATGTACCCTTCTCTTCTCCTCTAGTGACTGTGACAGTGGGAGGCAAGCAACACTTGCTCGGACTGTATGACACAGCAGGACAGGTACATCTTTATTATCTTGATTCATTAAGGGCTTGGGAGGAGGGAGAGTGATCTACCTAGCTAGGCATTTGGGGAATTGCAGTTTAAATGTTACCTCTTCTGGTTATTTGGGGCAAATTTATTGTCTATCTGAATGACAACCAAAAGCACATCCTTAATATCTCAAAAATATTTATAATTACAAAAAATTAAATCATTGTATTATTCAAGGTGTTGAAAGGCAAGTAATGACTCATTCATTCATTGATGACTATGAATTACCAAAATAACATCTTTGGCTGAGAGTTTTCTTCCCACTCATACCAATTCCAGAATTAAGGATTACTAATTCAATTTCATAAAATTTGAGTTTCACCCATTTTTTTTTAGTTATATCCCTTGCCCACCTTTATTTTAATTGTCTGACATGCTGCATAAAGGTCCAAAAAGAGCTACAGGATAGGGTTTTAGTGGGTAGGAATAAGATGGACTAAGTTTCAAAAGGAAGAAAATTCAGGATTCTGGATGTCTTCCAAAAGTAAGGGTCAACCCTAGAATAACTAGGGGTTAACTCTAAATTCACTAAGATTCTTGAAATATCCTCACTCAATTAGAAATGTTTCTTCAAGTTGGAGAACCTGGCTGACCCATAATATAAGGCAATGGACTAGAACTCTCAATACTTAATCATTTAGCATGTACAACCTTGAGGGTCAAAGTGCCAGCTTATCTTTCTTTCCTCACAGCTCACACTTTACTATGAAAAGGTTCTAATCTTACAAGTTCATGGACCGGAAGGGAAGTGGTTAAGTAATTGATGGCGGTAACCCAATTTCTTGGATAGAGCTTTTATTACCATATGTCTTGGGTGATTTATTTAGGTCAAAATCAGCGGGTTGTTCAGTCTGTCCAAATTCATACATCATAAGTCCTTTGGAGTGTGCATTAGCCTGCACGCTTTCCCACTGTGCATTTCCTGGTAATTGTTATTTGTAGTTATGCAGTTGTCTAGGCCTTTTTCACAATTATCTGGAGATATGTCTTTTTGCTCAACTTGAAAGTTCTATACTGGAAAAAATAATAACTAGAATTCTCTTTGGGATTTCAGTATGCATTTGCAAGGATCACTGTATAAATATCCGCGGGACATCAAAGACTAGGGTTGGGCAGGCCTGGGCAATGGAGGCCCTGGAAAATCTAACACCAGACTTAAAGGTCTTAAAAGCGTCCAGTTTTGCCTCCTAGGCAGATGGCTGTTTTGGTCAGCTACTCTCAAGAGCTGGGGGATGGTCTGTACCAAAATGCATGACTAGAAAACGATGCCCCCAGATACCCAAATGGGAAAAACCATTTTGGCTCCTCTAGTCTAAGGTACAAGGGTCTCAATACAGTTCATATGTGGCTGCCCCACCCACTGGAAGCCATTCCAGCAATGGAGGGGTACTGCTGTTTCAGCTGGAGTTGCCTACTCTCACTCAATCACATAGTCATTGGGGTGTCCCCATTCATCAGGAACTTACATCCTGAAAAAGAAAAGATTGACACCCTCCCCCTCCACCAAAGTCAGTTTTAGAATATAATCCAGTTTGAAAAGTTGAGTACAGTGAGGACTGCTGCCTGGCTCTGAAACCCCTGCTCCCTCGCCTTCTGAAGAGCTCTCTGCACCCCTCATGCCCCTTCGGGTCTCCCCTCTTCTGTGGCAATCCAAGATGATTGTCAGCGTCTGTGTATTAATTGCCCCCAGAACAACCTCCCCAAGCCTCTATTTAATTTCAAATCCAATAAAACTGTTTAAAAGCTCTTCTAGAGTTTAATTATTCTCTTCTATTGCTCTGTCCTTTATAATAAAATTTTTAAGTATACTAGGATAGGAATTGAAGCTCCATGGCTGTGTGAATACATCTTTAAACTCCAAGTTGAAGAAAGCAGGATGACGCAAACCTCTGCCACAAGAACGTGAGAGCAGTGATAAAATAGAGGCACAAATGGGCTATGGATATTCCTTTGACTTAATTTGCACTTTAATGTCGTCCTCCAGCTACTCTGAAAGCTCAGAGTTGGGCAAGGTTCACAGGGGAACATAAAGCATAAGGAGCAGGAATCAGAACACATATAAGGTTGCTTCTAGGCCCCAAATCCTAAGAAAGCCTAAGAGAACCACAGTAATTAAGCAAAGGATTTGAGACTAGACCCAATGGAAACCTTTCAGCAGTAAAGGATTGTTAAATACACTATTTGGCTATGCAACACAAAAGCAGGAGGACATGCAGTTCATGTTTTACAACAGGGGGCCTCACAATTGTAGACCTTGTTAACCCCAGCTGCTGGCTCCACCGCCGGAGCTTCTAATTGTGTGGGCCAAGGATGGCACCCAAGAACTGGCATTTCTGCCAGGTTTCTGGTGCTGCTGCTGTAGGCCTCTACACCATACCTTAAGAAGCACAGCTCTAGAAATTTGCCCCTAGAAATGTGACCCCTGACCAGTGGCATCAACATCACCAGGGAGCTAATTAGAAATGCAGAATCTCAGGCCCATCCCTAGACCACTGACTCTGGACTTGCATTTTAAGAGGACCAGTAGGCACATTGTAATTGGAGAAACACTCCTCCAGAGTTTTTGGTGGCGGGAGCACAAATCAGAAGGATGGAGGGGAAATCACCATGACCCCAGGGGCTACCCAAGCTTCACTGCTCTGTCAACAAGGCTTAGTAAGGAATTTAATTTGTCAGCATGGTCCCAAAATTTCCATTTCCAGCCCCAAGTAGGACCATCTACCCTCCTCGGCAATATTCTGGCAAATATTGCTAAGGTAACACAGCTAAGGAACATATATAACTAATTCAAAAATACCTATTTGGCCAGAGTTCCTAATGAGACAGGCTCAAAACTGATTCATTCCAGAACCACATAAAAAGAATGAAGTCTGTGAATCCAGCTTTACCGTTCCATCTTGCCGCGAATAATCCCATTTTCATACATAAATAAACTAAGAAGTCATGCCCCTTGACTTTATCTTGAGCAAAGCTTGGGTGGGTCAGAGTTGACTAAAACAACCTGGAGATACCTGTGTGCTGTGAAAGGTAAAGTCTTGGGAATTCATTATTTCTGGCCTTCAGTCAGCCCTGGATAGAACCTGTAGACTGGCTCCCCTACTCTGCAGCCCCACCTGCCTTGCCTAAGACATGCTCCCATCCCTTCACAGCCTGCCAGGCCCTCACCAAAAACAAGGTCTAATGGAGTCACCTGCACACATGGCAGCGATCTGAAAGCTCTAGCTCCCTCCCCCACCCCAGACACCAGCTAACATGTGGACTTGGAGTGGAGTCTCTGAGAGCCATCTGCACTCTGCTTCGTGTGTGGGAGAATCCAATCATCAGGTTAAGCAGCTAAGCGAGGGATTTTTCAGCGGGTGAGCACACATGAGCCCTCTGCCTGCACCAGGGAGGCAATGAGACCCAGCCTGAAGGCCAGATCTGCTAAGTCACGCCAACTCATGCCGTACACAGATGCCCCTAGTAGTGTGTGAAAGTCTCTCTGAAAGGACTCTCTAGACTCAGTTCTTTGGCTCAGCTACAAAGAGTCGCCAAACTGACTTTTCCATGATGTACTCGCAGGCCAGTTTGTTTAGAGTGTGTCATGAGAGGCCGAGTGGAGAGCAGGGTGATGGGGTGGGACATTCTCCCCTCTAGCCAGGAGTCCTCCCAGCCCACTGCCACCGCCAATAATGGGGTCAGCCAGGGCAGTAGGACACCTTGTCTCCTCTTTCGATGGCACTCACTTGCCCGAGCAATGTGGGCAAAGCCTGCTTAGGTCGTGGCCTCTTAGCTTAAAGGCAGTACTTGCAAAAGTGACAGTCAGCAGCACTGGCAGGAGGAATGAGAGTCTCTCGAGCCTGGTTTCTCGGCAGGGTAAAGCCCCGAGGTCTCTCAGGGACTGTGCATGTGGGCCAGCACAGAATAGTGTGTCACAGGAAAACCACAGCTCACAGCAGCTCAGCTGTCACCAGCTGGAGCGTGGGAGCAGGAAGGCCATCAACTGCACCCTTCTCTCAGCCAGGGCCGCACGCAGCACATCTTCGCCACGTCCTGATTGTTAAGGCACCTTTCCCCTGAAAAGCTGAAGAGCCATGCAAATAGGCAGGGAGGCAAGAACAGCTGGGGTTCATTAGTGGCAACCCAAGATCCGCTGGGAAGGACACGCACCTTCCCCTTTGCTTTTGGCTGATTCTGTGGGGCCATCTGGAGCACAGAATCTGGCATCAAACCTCTATGGAAACTTTGCCTAAAACCTCCAAATAAATGTTTTTCCTCAATGAGCTACTCAACCTTTCTTGCTCACGTGTATCTTAATGTGGTTTTAGAAATGTGCAATTTGGAGGATTAGAAAAAAAATGCTCACACGACTAGCTTTTGGTAAAAGTAACCGTAGAGACTGATCTTCTCCCCAAATTATGAAAAATTGAGCTGCGGGGATATTGACTCAGAGGTGCAATCAGAGTTTGCAAACATTTGGGTCTCATTACTGCTTAATTTAGGACAAGTTAATTTCAGACTCAGCCCTGCTCGCCAGTGAGGGCAGGACCTGCAGCTGTTGTTGACATGGGATGGAGGATCCCATCCCATCTTCACCACTGAAAAACTTAACTATGATCATGACACTGAACTAAGTGGCCCACAAATATTAGCATGAGACCAGCACTTTTTATAAACCATCTAGGGGACCAGCACTGCCACTGCCATCAAATTCATTTTACAGATAAAGAAACGGAGGCAGAAAGAACCCATCCAAGGTCACCCATACAACGGCAGGAATGGGATTGGACTCAGAGAATGTCCCTCCCTAGCCCCTAGGCTCGTAGGCACGATGTTATGCTCCTGTCCACATTTTTGAAACCAAGCCTGACGCATAGGAGAATCCATCTGAGAAAAATGAAAATGAGACTGAAAATCTGGGAGAAGCATCATTAAGCCTTGCGAGGACATGTAGCAGAATTCTATTTTCAATTTAGAGTGTGCCTTCCCCACTCAGGATGTGGTCCCTGGACCAGCCGCGCCTGGACACTTGCTAGAAATGCACTTCTTGGGCTTCAGCCCCAACCTACTGCTAGATAAGACTCTGCACTTTAACAAGATCCCCAGGTGCTTTAAATGTTTTCTCTGACTCACCCCCCATGATGACTCCAGGCACATTCAGAAACCAGGTGTTCAGCCTGTCTGATGCAGAGGCACCACTGAACTTTTCTTTTTTAATCATCACCCACACTCACCCCAAGCTCTAGATTTGGCTTCAAACCAAGCACTCTCCTGCCTTTACAGTGGACTCGGATGGAAAGCACGCGAAAGCATTCCTCCTGCAATTCCCTCCTTAACCCCCACGGCCAGCCCCATGCCAGCCTCAGCATCCATGTTAGCTCCCAAGCCCATTTCCAGGTTCTTTTAGATTAAAACGTTGTCTCAAGAGGCACACAAGCACCTGTCTTCTAGCCATGGTTTTAAGGTCAAAAGGAGCCTCGGACATCATCAAGGCTGTTCAGCCACTGCTCTTGGCTCCTTTACATCATATCAACCTGTGATCATTAAGCTGGGTTCCAAAGGTGCCCCAGTGCAAGACATCATATAATTTACCAGCTGGTAAATTATATTTAATTTACAAATTCAAATACCCCAACCTCCCACTGTCTATTTTGAGGGGATGCTTCCTTTTAGTAACCCCCAACTGCTCCCATGCTCCCATGCTCCCCAGCTGCCCCCAGCAGTGGGGCTGAAGGAAGCCTGGCCAGCCCAGGTATAAGCCATCTTCAATGACATGTTTGGTCTGTAGTCCCCACTAAAGCACTAGACGTGTCTAGACTTTGATTTCTTAAGCTATGAAATTGGCTGAGGGGAGGCAGAAGCGCAATAACTTGAGGTTCTGATACTTGAGCTGCAAAAGCACCTGGAAGGCTTGTTAAGATGAGGCAGCGGTGCAGCCCTTCCCCCATAGCCTGAGGCTGGATGGGAGTGAGAACACACCCCACACACACACACACACACACCCAAGTGGTGTCTGGGACCCACTGCATGAACTCACCTCCAAAGCTTCTTGTGGCCTTGAGATTGTGTTTCTCCAATTCAGTCAGTTAAATAGTCTAGCACTACATTACCACGTTAGCAAAGAGCAAGAGACACTTCACCTGTCTCACTTCAGACAAATCATTTTCCTTATTCTCACTTTCCTTCTTTCTTTCCCCCACTGGACTGCCAATTCCTCTTCACTTCTATAGTTCATATGTAGCCACCTTAACAGTGTTAGACCTTAACTGTGTCAGAGGATCAGTAGGCAATGAATACTTTCTTTAATGTGGAATTACACAGCACTTACCCCAGAAGAGAGATCCAGGATACAGAGCAGGATGCAGCCCCATAGAGGACACAGTCAGAAGTCACTCAGCTGGAGGGCCTTCGCAATCCTGCTGGCAGGGTAAAAAAAAATCGAAAAACCAAACTGCTCTCACCTGCCTACCTACAGTTGTCAGTCCAGCAACCCATGGTCTTCCTAACCTTTCCCTAATGTAAACATAATTCCTTTATAACTTCTGAATAAAGAATCAAATAAACATGATCCTACCAATTGTTTGTGCCTACCTCACCTAATAGTGGCATTGCTCCACATTGTGTTGGAGTTTGTTTCGCCTTTCAGATTTAAATATGTAGTGTCTGCTGCCATCTGGTGGTCATTTCAAGCAGTTGCAAGTCATGAAATATATCCCACTAACATTTCTTAAATTCTTGGGTAAAAAGTCTATATTCATATTCCAAGATAAATGAATTTTGAAGGAATGATTAGTCTATCACTCAAGTTCTGAGCTGAATCAAACATTATGGTCGCAATGAAGAACTAGAGTTGAATTCAGGTAAATGGTCGTATTATTTAATAGCTCTGTGACATTGATTTATTACTGAATTTCTCTAAATCCTAACATCGTCTTCTATGAAATGTGGATGTTGATGGTACCATCTTTCTAGTGTTACTGTAAGAATTCAACAAGATAATGCATGTGAGTGCAGGAAATAATGCCTGGACCGCTGAAGTTGGTGAAAATAATGATGGAATAAGGCAGCATTTTAGTTATTTTATTCTAAAGTAAACTTTCATGCATTGTTTTTGAGAGTATCATAATTTTTTTCACTTTTAGACTGTTCTCATTTTATTTTGCAAAGACATTCCATCAATTACTACTCCAATGTAAGGTACAAATCTCATTCTGACTATAGCTTTCATTTTGAAGCAAACAATGACCTGGTAATAAAAATTGTGCACTTTTTTAATTGTATAAGGAGAACATTTATGTGCCTTGACAGGTGGCCCACTGATTTAAGTCCATATTCAATAGAACACAATTCTAATGTGACAGGAAACTTGCAATAATTCTTACTGAACAATATACATGAACTGGGTGAGTTTTATGGTGTGTACATTATCTTACTAAAGCTGTTCAAAATTACTTAAAAAATTTTTTTTGAAGTTCATCTTGAAAGGGAACAATTCATAGGGCCTCCCTGGTGGCCCAGGGGTTAAAGTCTCAACACTATCCAGATATCACCAGCCACCCCCGGCCAGGGAGCTAACCCACAGGGCGCAGCAGACCTCTCCTGTCTCGACCGCTGCTCCCCTCAACAATGTATTTCAGTAGGTCCGCCTGTTCTGCTCCCCACCCTGTCTCTGGTGAATCCTCTCACCTCCCACACCTCTGGCCTACACCCCAGTTCTTGTATGCATAAATAAAAACAAATCTTTAAAAAGGGGAGGAATAATTCATAACCTCTGGACACAAGGTGAAGATGTTTTCCTGTCGTTGGCCCCTCTATTCCTAGCTTACAGAGAAACACCATTTGACAGGGTGCGGCAAGGGACTGGGTCACATATCACTTTGGTACAACTTCCCCAGGTCACCCCTGGAACCACAGGGGACCCACCTTTCTCAAGCTGTGCAAACTCCTTGCTTTTCCCACAGGAGGACTACAACCAGTTGAGGCCGCTCTCCTACCCCAACACTGATGTGTTTTTGATCTGCTTCTCTGTCGTAAACCCTGCCTCTTACCACAACGTCCAAGAGGAGTGGGTCCCGGAGCTGAGGGACTGCATGCCGCACGTGCCTTACGTCCTCATAGGGACCCAGGTTAAGAGGCGGGGAGGGCGGAGCCACGGGGAGGGCGGAGCCACGGGGAGGGCGGACGAAAAGGGGACTTTGTCGGTATCTCCAGAACATCCTAGTCTGTCAAATACTGTATATTAGGGTCTCAGGTATAGCAATTCTGAGAACAGCACTTCTTAAGATCTGCATGATTATTTAGCGTAGAGTTGAAAAGACTGTAGAGCTATTTCAAATGAAGCAGGAAGTTTTGATATGGCCTTTAAAAATTAATCTTTCCATTTTTATTGTTAAATAACAGAGTAATTTTGGAAATAGTGCCCTTTTCTAGCCCTGAATCAAAGGAATGAGGTAAAGATGTCAATTGCACATGACCTAATGTTTTATATCTAAAATCCACTATTGCTTGAAAATCACAAATTAGGTGTGAATGTCAAAGTGACCCCGGCAATCAAAACAGCACATATGAAAGAAATGCCTTAATCACACTCCCAGAGAAGGAAGATTGAAATTTAGTGTTCCCTATTTCCTTTAAGCTCCTTGGTCTTCCAGATCTTAGGAAGTTAAAACAGAAATAACAGATAAGCAAACCTGCCATTGTAAAAGCATGTAAGGTAAGTTTTGAAAATTAACAGTTTCATACTTTGAATTCCCAACAGTAAGCCAATTGCACAAATATATTAAAGACATTTTCAACTTTTTATAGTTTAAAATGGATTTTATTTTTTGCTATATCAAAACCCAAATTACTATCCCAAAGTAATAATAGTGAAGGACTTCACTGTTATCTGCTCCAAGTGCCACTACTTTCTATTTTTCATTTTACATTCTGCTTGACCAAAAAAAAATTTCTTTTAAATGAAAAATAATATCCTAGTGAAGATATAAACAGATAATGAACACATCCTACCCCAAATCAGAATACAGTTAATACTTCTGGTCTACCAGATAATTACTTGTTTAAATGAAATCTTTTGCCTTAATTCCAGATAACAATGTTTGACCAAATTGATGGAGCCCAGATCCCTGCAGCCAAAATATGTGAGGGACATGCAAGCATCTTTGGGTGGTTTGAGCCTGTTTTATAATAGACGGGCACTAAACTGAACAATTAAGGCCAAAAAACTCCATAGAAATTAGTAAAACTGGGGCCTCCCTGGTGGCACTAGGGGTTAAGTCTCAGCACTATGAAGCTATCTGCAGCCACTGCAGCATGAGTTCGATCCCTGCCCAGGGAGCTGACCAACATGGCACAGTGTACCTCTCCTGTCTCCCCACTGCTCCCCTTCGCAGTGTATTTCAGTTAATCCACCTGTTCTGCTCCCCACTCTGTCTCTGGTGAATACTCTCACGGCCACCGCCCCCCCTGGCCTGCACCCCAGCTCTTGTACGCATAAATAAATCTTAAAAACAAATTGGTAAAACTAAGCAATGTGCTTATAAACTGTACCTTACAATATGAATATATTGACTTTTCTTTAAGACGACAGCCTTTATGTGCCCAAATTTACACACACCCATGAATGTGTGACTTCATATACACAGTGATACCATAAAATATTTAATTAAATATTTAATTAAATTATCCAACTTAATCCCAACATAGATGTTATTTGCAACATCATTCTACCAGGGGAGAAATTAATGTTTATTCCTTGAGCAAACCCTTGGAAAATTCCTCCTCTGGACTTGCCTTCAGAGCCTGCAGCACATTTGTTGTAATATCCCCATGGGTAACAGATCTTCGTTTCCTTGATGATCTGATTTGGGAAAGGCCCCCGAAAGTGTATTCAGAGTCAGGAAATAAACTATTAAATCATGAATAATATAATTTGGGATCAAATGAGGCATTTCTGTAAGGTAACATAACCGACTGATATTTTTGCCTGTCCTGTAAATGAGGTGTAGAAATAAATAGGAAACTTTAAAAACATTTGAGTCAGTAAGTCATCACCCCCAGTATCACTGCCCTGGGTGAGAACGTACAAGGAAAGCTGGGTGGATGCATTTACAAGGAAATCACTTTTACTTTCTAGGCATGACATATGTGCTTCCTTGTATGTGTATGTATATGTGCTTCCTTGAAAAAAAAAACTCTATTATATCAGTTTAAAATATCTGATAAGATCTAAAAAATATAATGAGTATATAATGTGTGTCTTTTTTGCTAGATCGATCTCCGTGATGACCCCAAAACCTTGGCCCGGTTGCTCTACATGAAGGAGAAACCTCTCACTTACGAGCATGGTGTGAAACTTGCAAAAGCGGTACAGTCTGATTTGAATTTAATTTTAAGTGTGCTGAGAGAAGTGTATGCTTTGGAATAGGTGAGCTACACAGGCTTTTGCTTCAATGTGCAATATATGCATAATCCTTTCTCTGCCCTCTGTAAGGTAGGCTGGAAGAGATCATTTGGTTAGCATTCTTGTCGGTCAGTATTGTCTGTTTTTCATTAAAAAAGAAACATGGTGAATTTAAACAGCTGAAACACTTAGCATTTGATTTTGCAACCTCTAGAATAAATCCACTTGCCATATTTAATGTGAATAAAGGGAGTCAGATACATATTTGTAAACCTCACTATTTATTATCAGTGTAACTCATTTAAATAACCCCATAAAAAGTATTTTGTGATTTTCTTGGGAGAAACTGAGATTAGCAACTGTCAGGGTTTTACTTACTCCATATTTCTCACCACAGAAAGAACAGTCACTTAGAGTTTGGTTTATGCCATAGACAGCATCTAGAAGAGAATCATAGACCAAAAGGTAACTAGTTTGAGAATTCAAGTTGCTACTTAGCAGATAATAGCAACTTGCTCACAGCTGGAACTATTTTCACAGACCTGTCTTCAGTTCCAAGAGCTTACCATGAGTAGTGATTTTGCTGACGAAATGTTTTAGAAAGTATTTTCCAGACAACAAATCTTTGTCTTCTGATTACCACCAAGATATGCAAAAGTAGACACAATAATACACATAAGAGGATGGAGGCACTTTATTCAAAAGGAGATTTATAAATCTCCTGAATCCACCTCCTCATTGATTTAATTACCCACCCCACAATAGAGGTTTCAGAAATATCTTTTACTTTCTAAAGTAACTAACCCTCACCCTGAAATGCATGTATTAACTACAAACTCATTGTTTACAAAAATACATAACATTTTATCTTAATAAAATGTTCTCTTAGGCACCAAAACCAAGTGAAATGCTTGCATCGAAATGAATTAAATAAAATTATGCTTTAAAGAATGGTTGAAAGGGATGATAACAGGTTTACTGTGGAAACTGAGCCTTTTTATTTCAGATCATTCAGTTTTTAGCATAGAAAGATAATTAGGTATATAGAGAGAGTTTCACTATATTTTATCAAGATGGTATAGCAATTATAAACTTGTAAGCAACAAAAAAACTGACATGAAAACATATAAAGCAAAATTGAATATAAAAAACTGAAAAGTCCTCTATCACACAGAGGGGTATAAAAATGAAAATACAAGTATATTTTATAGATGTGATACCTAAGAACATCTCACAAATACTTGAGAGACTGTTATGTTTCCTACTTCTGTATGAAGTATGTTATATTTCCTACTTCTGTATGAGAACAATCAGTATGAGCCATTCACAGAGTTCTTAGGATGCTAAATTTTTTACAAGTAATGTAGATCTCATTTCAGCCCTGTGATAACCCTCTTAAGCAGATCATGTTTGTCTCATCTTACACATAGGAAACATAGTCTTAGGGAAATGAGTATATTTGATTCACATATCTAATAATAACAAAAGCAAACAATCCTAATGCAGCTTTGTGGACATCTTCCCATGCACCTGCCCATTATATGAACCATATATTTTGCATGCATGTCAATAGGCTCTACCCTTTAAATTCTTTTACCAAGGTACATAAAAATATAGTGCCATAAATAAGAGTATGTGATACACAGCTAGACGTTTTTCACAACAAGGTGGTCAGCGCCAGCATTTTGCAGAAGCTGGGCTTCTAGATCCCTTCCTTCTGACTATCTCCCACCATCGACCCGTCAGTGTCCTAGCCTGACTTCTCATTTGGGAAGTTTTTTTCCTCTGAAAAGAAGCCATCTCAAAGCCTCCCATCTCATTTCATACTTATTTTAGGAACAATGGCTGAGTTCACCACTTTATTGCCTTTTGCCAGTTTCTCCTAGCAACTGCTCTCAGATACAGAGAGATTCATGTTTAGCTTACAAAATCCAATTTAGAAGAAAACCAAGCAAGAGTTTAACTTGTTTCATCACAATTCATGTAATTATAGAGATGCTTTAAGTTTCTCTGCTCCCTGACTTTCCTGTCAAGTTGTTTATAATAACAGCTAGCATTTATTGAGTGTCTGCGTATGCTAGGCTTCATGCCAGTTGCTTTACAGGCCTTGTCTTAATTAATCCCCTCAACAACCCCCTGAGGTGTGTGTATCATTATCTTCTCTTTCCTAGAGGAAACTGAGGCTCGGAGAAGAAAAAGTCACACCACTGGCAAGTGATAGGACATGCAACTGAGTTTTAGCTACCACAAACTTCTGCCTCCCTCCTATAATCTAAAAAGACAACCTTAGATTTCCCTGCTTCTTCTTTATATACCAAAGACATATATTTCAATGTGCATAGTCTCCCAATAATGTAAACACTGCGATGTCAGATTTTTCATATCCAACTCCTTTTGGTTAGCACTTTACAATTTCCAAAGCATTCTTAAGTCTATCATTTCTTTTTTAACTCCAAGAGCATTTTATTTTTAAAGGATATTTTTGTATTATAATATTTACAATTCTTCACACTCCAAAGTCCACCACATCTACATACTTTATATCAATTTTTAGCCAATATTCTTTTGTATCTCTTGTTTTATTCTCCTCTTTTCGTTATTGTGGGTCTTTTCATCTTAAGCCTACCTTTCCCATTCTTTACTTGTCCGTGTATATCCATATAGTTACTGGATTTATTGGACAATAATTGATTGAACACCTAATATGCGCCAGGTGCTAGGCTGCACTGTCGAGTATAATTCTTTGTGCACACTTTCCCAGTTCCATTGCTTCATGGACTCTCTAGCCTAAACTGATTTTCTAAATTCCAATTGTTTTTAATGAAGTATCATTGTTGTACTTCCTTGTAAATTCAAATTTCTCAAGATACTTCTTGATACAACACTTTACCATTTTTACCCTTTGGTTGTTGGCCTTTTTTTTTTTTTTTTTTTTTTTCATTTTTTTCACCCTTGTGCCTTTTTTATTATTGTCCTCACTCTTCGGCTTAACACCTGTCTCCTGCCGGGTTTTTAACTGGCAACAGCAGGGTGTAAAGTAGCAAAACTGCTGCAAAAAAAATCCTGTAATCACTGTTCAGTCCAGTTAGCTGGTGTGTGTGGAAAGTAAATATTTATATATAGTTACAGAAAGAATGAATGTTTCACTTAAAGTTACCCATTGAAAATAAATTTAAGTTAGAAGAGCAGTTCAGTGATGTCGAGAGTAATTATTTGTTGATGTATTATGGAAATAATCCAATTCTTAGAGCAATTAACATACACACTGTTTACGGGGGTAATTCTGGTTACAACACTGTACAGGCTTCAGGTTCACAGCTTCCCTCCTCAGCACCTATATATATCACACTACCTCTATCACCAAATGTCCAGTCACTACCCTCACCAACCACCTGCATGTCCCCTTCCCCTATGGTAACCACCATTTTAATCAACTGGAGTCTTTAATACCCTCCTCCTTGTTTTGTGTGCTAGTCATTGCCTCCTTCTCTAATGGTCTTTGAAAATCAGTAGCATCCCTGCTGGGGTCTGGGTTACAGAGATGAGGAGGAGAGTCCCTGCCCTGAAGATGCCCATGGGCCAGAGGAGGAAGAGAGACAAACAAAAGCTGCCAACTGAATGAATATGACAACAGACATGTGCAAAGAACTCAGGTGACACAAAGGAGGGAATGACAAACATTTTCAGAAAGATTCAGAGAAAATTTCTTAAAGTTGTTGACATGTGAGCCTGGTTTGAAGGATAAGGACAAGTCATCATGGGGGGAAAAAGGGAAACCAATTCCTATAAAGACATCTTTTTTTTTTTTTATTAGAGTCTTCTTTATTAACTCTAGTGAGGTCAGTTCTATAAAAAAAATTTCACAAAAGACAGGAACTAAGCCATCTTTTAAAACATAGGTAGCACATTGGCAAGTGATAGGCCAACTTTCACCCACAAATGTTTTGGTCATTCTGCACAGGTGATTTAATGTGATTTAGTGACCAATACTTAATAATTTGAAGCTTTACATAAATACACACACATATCTAGCTTCTAAAAAATCAGAATATCTAGTAAACACTGTGCCATCAACTGCAACTTGTGAATGGGTTTTAGATAAGATGCATACCCTTCAGCTTGCCACAATCCCACCACTCCATATTACCTCCATTTTCTATCTTTAAGTTGGCAACCTTTGCTTTACAATCTTGAAAATATCAACAGCAAATCCATCCTACCTAAAAACACTTTTCCTCTTTGAGCAATTTGTACATAATGCTGATTTGTTGAGATGGAATTTTTCTTATTTTCTGCTTTTCTTGGCTCTCAAGTTGCCCTCTCTTAGTATCTTTCCTATTTCTTAACTAAGAAATAACTCCTCTACTAGTCATCGTTTTCAGGTAACAGTTAACTCCAATAACATTTTCTCTTTTCTCCATTTATAAAAAATGCCTCACTTTCCTTTCCTTCTTCTCTTATGACTCTAAATCCATAACAACTTCTCCATTCGTTCATTAGATTTGTTCTTCCAGCCACATTCTTTACATTTGCTGGAGACAACCCAACAGAGGTTACCTAACCTCTGCCATTGGTTTCCTAAGTGCAAATGAGGTGGTGATAGACTTAGCTTGTAAAGTTCTTGTGATGATTGAAAAATCCAATGTACCCTGAGATCTAGCTCAGCAAACTCCAGTTACTGTTAGATCTGTGTGTCCTTCCAACATGCCTACAGCTGAGACCACTTTACCTTTTCTCCATCCACTTGCATTCATTCCATCTTAAATCATGTCCCACCTACACACGGATGACCTGGAAGAAGTACTAGGTTTTCTTCCACTTAATTACTCACTGGGGTTTGCTTAGTTTTTAATTTCTTCTTATCAGAATTCTATGTGTCCCATACACCTCTGATGGACAGTCCAGGTTTTGAGCCAATAAATCCTAGCTATTATAAAGTTATCAGAAAAGTACTCTCTCAGCTTACATTCCTCAATCTCTTTTTCTTTTCCCTGAAACTAAATCACTTTGGTAAAACATGTTCCTGATTGCTAACATGTGTCTCTAGACAAGGATTCACAAATCCTGAGCTCTTACAGATCGGTTCTAAATATTTGACTGTGAAGGTCACTGTGCTCCAAGAGGCAGAGGAAATTGCTGCTGCAGGAAAAGCCATATTTCCTCAAGACAGTTTTGTATTTCATATCTTTGAGGGCACAAATGTTTTTTTTTAAAGCAATTTGTGAGGCATAAATATGCCTTTTCCCTGAATTAGGATGAATTCTCTCTGACCCTCAAAACACTTGATATGTGGTTAACAACTCTCACCTCATAACTGGGTTCTGTTTCTCACAAATATTTTCCAAATTACACCTGAAATCTGTTTGCTTCTTTTCTAATATCAGTACAAAATAATATGATATCAACCCAGCTATATAATAATGCCTTGAGCTACTATTTTATTATCTTCAGAAATATCTGAATTGAGAAAGACAAGTTTGGTTCTACTTGTACTATCAAAAGGCAAATTGACACGCTGTCAGCAGAACTCTGGGGAAGGAGGAGATCCCCACCACCACCACCCATCCTGCAGGACCAGAAGGCCCAGAGCCCTGTGTATAAGCTGAAGCTCAGCCCAAGAATCCTGTAATTTCCAGAATCAACTGAAACTTGTGATTGTCCATGGAAAGGGACTCTGGATAGAATAGCCCATTGCACTATGGGTCATTTTTCAGGATGACTGATAAGGGCAAGCATCCCATGGATACATTCATCAGAGCAGTATACTTTTCATGTGTATTTATATTGAATAATATATACAATCCCAAAATACAACAGATGATATTTCATGACATTATTAGAAAAAGTTCCTCTATCTTTTATCCCTCTCTTGCTTCCACCTGTTTTAATTATTTAGAAAGTTTTTCTTTAATCGAAGGTCCAAACCATGGTCAAAATGAAATCATAAAATAAGTTTTCAACACCCAACATCTTTTCTTGAGTTATTTTTCTTTGACTCATACTATAACCAGTCTTTACAGGAAAAAAAAAATGGACCTAACCAGAACAATTTTATTTTGTATTTAAGTTTCATATCTATAGGCTTTTAAATGAGCAGACAACCTCGATTCATTAATTGTTGGCTTAACCTGTTTCTTGCAGAGTTGAGTTACAAGGGTTCCATCAAAGAACACACAACAAAAAACCCACACTCTAGGTCTAGTTCTTTCACTTTCTACTTAGTGTCCTTAATTCATTTTATTATCTCAGGCTATCTCCATTCTATTATATGCTAAACCACACAAGTTCCTTTACTCTACATATTGCAAACTGGCTAGTTGCTGCCAAAGACATCTCACATTAGCGTCTTGCTTGGTCCACAAAATGTTTTAAAAATCAGTAAATAATAAAGATCCAAATGTCCAATTCTTCTTGAAAAATATAAAGGACAATGTGAAATAACATTCCTGCATAGCAACAGTTGTGTCAAGCTGAACAAGACTGCCAACTCTGGAAGAGGTGTGCACTTTATAGTCTGCCACAATCTCCACCTCTCCTTAATGTCTCATACCAACACTGCTTTTCTCAGTTACATAAGCTACTGACATTATTAGGCATGTGATTTTGCAACCATGCTTTAGTCACTTATCTGCTCTGATTTCTAGGAGTTCACCATCTAGTCTTCTGAATTTGCTTTAAATTTTCTAAGTTATTCTTATAATGTTAGCATATGATAAAAGCATTTCCCCAGATGTCCTTAATATAAAAAAGGCCTGCATCATGCTGTTAGATCTTACTGAGCTTGTGAGCAATGAAAACCCTGGGTCTCTCTCACATGAATTATCTCTTGAAGTTGACTGCCAAACATAGTCTGCCCTGCCCTGCAATTTTTTTTAATGAGAATCTACAGTTCTGGTCTGAATTTCCATTTCTCTGGGATTTTGTGATTATTACATTTATTGTCATTAAAACCATCAAAGTTTTGAAATGAAGCCCTAAGCAAGCACCAAATATTTTATCATTTAAATTTGTATTGATGATAGACTGACAAGACGTTATCTCTGTCGGTAAATATAATTTGCAATTTTTATTTTTACATGTTTGGTTTTTTTTTTTAACTACTTAAAAAAAAAGTGTGAAGAATCTTTGAAAAACTTCAAACACTCAAAAAAAATGCCTCTTAAAGTATATTAAAACCAAACCATAACACCAATCTGATCTCACCTTGCTAAGAGACACCTTATCAGAAGTACATTTGAATCAAGAATGACCTATAAGCACGTTACCCAAGCCCCTTCTCTCTACTTTATCAGCCACGACTCTACTTTTCCTTACCACGTGCAGGAGGAGCTACATTCCACTTGTGTTGAATTTACAAGTCTGTGTACAAAGGAGAGAACAGTAAAAACATCACATGGCCCTGTTATTCATAGAAGATATTTAAACCACCTCATTGGGTTTAGTCTTCTCTGAATTTTTATTATCTTTATATTCTCATATTAGGAATGAATGGTTGTGGGTCCCTTTTGGTGAGCAATACATTCTGAAAATAATATCAGAAAGTCATTAAATATTAGGATGACCAATGCAAGTTGAAATGCAAGAGGGAAAAAAAAGAAAACAGTCCATAATCCAAACCACCCCGCAGGCTATTTCTGGGACAGAACAGCAGCGCTCACTGGCTGGGAGGGACTGGACACCACTGCGCCTTTCTCCGATTCCTCTCATGCCTCTCTCTTTTGTGTTTAAGATTGGAGCACAGTGCTACTTGGAATGCTCAGCCCTGACGCAGAAGGGTCTCAAAGCTGTTTTTGATGAAGCGATCCTCACCATTTTCCACCCCAAGAAAAAGAAGAAACGCTGCTCCCGGGGTCACAGCTGCTGTAAGATTATCTGAGGTGATTGAGACGCGCCCCCTCCCCTCCTGGGGTGGGAGTGGCAGCCAACTTCTGCCCCTGCGCGAAAGCCTCCAGGGCAACAGAGAGGAAGGCCCTCCACGTGGAGGCTTGCTTCTCCCCACCGGGAAGCCTCTCAAGCACAGCACACCAGTCAACCCACTGCCACATCCTCCCTATCAGCCAGAGCCTCCACCTTGCATGCCCTTTGAGAAGGCTGAGCCTGTATGACAGCCAGGGTCGCTGCCAACAAAGTAGGGAGCAAAGTCAAAGGCCATCTTGCATTTTACATCTGCCCTCCCCATGACGGAAAGCCAAAAGGAAATCATCATAAGGAAAACCAAAGAAGACACTCAGTTCCTCTATCAGTGGCCTTACTTGACATGTTTTGCAAACCATTGAAATACAATATTAACCTTTTTATCTGAATCTGCTGTTCTACTCATGTGTTTGACATCCCTTTGTATTATTTTAAGATCGTTACTAATTTACCAGTTTACTCAGGCCTTACAAATGCAGACCAAATTAGCCTAAAGACAGTGTTTTATATTCGTTTCTATTTTCAGCATGTTTCTACCAAAGTTATGAGAACCAACATGTACCTCTGAATGCCAACTACAAGAAAATACAGGAAACCTTAAAACTTTTGGAAATTTAAAGAACCATAATTTTTTACCTGGTTAGAAGAAAATACCATCTGAATTGTTGCAGGTTCACATTTTTGCCAAAGACTCACCCTAGAAATACTTGCAGTGATAAGTAGCCTTATTTTATTTTTCTTTCAGTATTATATTGTCAGGGCAAGTAACAAATGAACTATGTCTATGAAAGTTTCTGGTTTTCAATCAAAGTGATTAGGGGCTAGGAGAATACAGCAGGACTTACCTTTTAAAATGTTCTTTATGCAGCAAAATAAACCTTTCTGCACCTTCCCTTCCCACTTTGTAACCCTTTTGCTCTCTCAATTTCACACTTTCTCAAATGCCTACCTCCTTTTCTCTCCCCCAATAATTACCTGATCTAAAAGGGTCTGGCTGTGGAGCATGAAAAATGAAGTGTTTAAAAGTTCCTAAAGGTTAAAGAAAGTGTCTCAATTTTTCCACCTGCTTCAAGGGGAAGTGATTCTCAGTTTGTCCCAAGTAAATTCCCATTCTGTTTAAATCACATTTTCCAGATACAGCTGGGACTAAAAAACTGCCTCTCCCTATTCCCAAGGCCTGTTGTCCCAAGTGTATCTTTAGGGTCTAGGTCTGTGAGTATCCAGCTCTGGGTTTAGCCCCTGCCTCCCACGGTGATGTGCTCTGCCAACAGGGACTTTGGCCTTGAGGAGGAAAAAGGAATACCGTGTCCTTTCCTTTAAACAGCCAGGGATTCTGTGTCGTGGAGGAAGCTGCTTCTAGCTTTTAATTAGAGACTATGAACACTTCTAATTAGTCTTATTTGCTTTCAATTACCCTAGAAACATCCAGGTAGGCACTTAAATTTTTATTTCAATTGCATAAGCAAAGTGCCTCTTTGCAGCATAAAATTGCACCAATTTTGGTCTTAAAAAATTTCCACATTCACAATCCTCCTGTTAGAAAAATCCAGTCTTTCTAGTTCTTTGTGTTCCCAAGGAAATCCATTTTAAAAAGCTTAGGGTATGGGTCTGTTCTGTAAGATCTTCCATGACACCCACTCAATTTGGAGAGGTTTGCTTGGTTAGTTTGTGTTTGTTTAGAATTTCTGAAATGTGTTTTCCCTTATTTCATATTTCAAGTTATTTTCCTTCCTCATTTAGATGCTAGCCGTTTTCTTAAACATACAGAGAATGAGAACCTAAAAGAAAATGGGAGTTTTGTAAGTCAAAGCTTGACATTTCAAGAAAACAAGGACTTTCTGCTTTTGTAAATGGAAATCAATTGTATATAAACTATGACTCTGCAGAGGTTATGATTTCATCCTTTCCAGACAATAATAAGCATTTAGCCCTGTAATAAATGTAATGCTGTTAGTCGGTTTTGTTACATCGTTGCTTACCTACATCTTCCTGAAGGGCCATGCCTCACTTCTCCTTGATGTGGATGAAACTCGGTGAGTTGCATGTTTGCTCTGCCATGGAGAATTTTCCAGATGTGTGCACTCAACAGGCAAATGGTTCCCCAGGCCATCATCTTGCTAATGGACCACAGGGACTGACTTTGTTCATGGGGGAACATTCACTCTGTCACCTGGAACCAGAACCCAGAGAGAGACTTTTATGTCTGGTTCGAGCACAGGCTCCTAGAGGTTTTAGGCATTAATTACTAAATAAAATAATGAAGAACAGAGCAAACCAAGTGAGTTAACATCATCCCACCAAATCAATTGTGTATTCCCTATTTCTAAATGTAGTTCCCTTCAATAGAGGTGTTTTGTGCCATAAGAATGACTATACTCTAAAGCCAAAATGAAGAGGAGACATAGATCTGAAGAAGATCCTTTAATGGCCTACACCATTTTTCAAAGACAAGAAGGGACAAGTGCTCTCTGGAGGCTAGTGTCTTAGCTTTTCAGGACTGAAAGAGGCCTCAGAAACTGTAGTCCAAGTCCCCTATCATACAGTTGGGGAAGCTCAAACCCAGATGGGGTAAGGAGATGTGTTGTGACAGCTGAAAGAGAGCTCAATTCTTCTGCTTCCCATCCACTACCCAGCTCCTTACTATGAACTCTACATTATCATACAAATAAAGTTGGAGTTTCATAGGCATATTATTGGAGTGGCAGGTTTTTTGCTCTATAGGTCCTAGCCACATTTCATACCTATAATATAAACCATTATAAATAATTCATCAGAATAATAACTACCTAGAGACAAGAATTTGATTTATATAACTAATAGGCCTCACTCCACAGTATACAATGACATGTAATCCTAATCTAATTGCACAGTAGATGGCAATGTAATCCCAATCTAATGACTCAATCAAGAAACTAATTTGACAAATTTTCTTTCAATCAGTTGGTTGGTTACTTGGTAGAATTAAAAGACTCCTTGGTCTATTTTGGAAGCACAAAAGGCCTATGACAAGTCAAAGCCATGTCAGCAGCAAGAAATCTGGTCTGATTTCTGCCAGGGAGAGTTATGCTCCAAGAACAATTACTGAATGCAATGACTACAGCAATCTTAAACCAGGAAGCACTAAGCTGGGAAATCAAAAACTAAGCTATACACATACGACAAGAAAAGAGATTTGGTCCTGAGACCCGAATAACAATAACAGTACATCTGATCTTGATGTGAGAAGTCCTAGTTATATAAAAAGTTATATAAAAACCATTTGGAAGACTTATGGTCCATAGAGAAGAGTCAGATGAAATGAGTGGAAGTAACCATACACAATTTTCATAGAACTACCAATAAAGAAATAATATTTAATGGTAGTAAAACATAGCCTACTCACAATCTTAGGAGAAAGTAAAGTTAAACCCAGAATTTAAAGCCAACAAAAATGTTCAAAGTTACACTGAGTGATAAACTTGCAAAGTAAAAGGTCTCCAAAAAAAGTATATTTGAGTTGTGAGCCTTTAAAGATGCAGTATTGCATTCAGGGAGGCAAGCTTATCCATGAGACCGAAGTGATAGAAGATTAGAAATGGAGATTTTGTTTTCAAGGACTCTTTGACAACACACTGGACATTGTTACCTAACCATTCATATCTTCATTTCTAAATGTTTAAATGCCTGTTTAAATGTCTCTATGTTTAAATGCCTGAATACAAAATGTGCATTCTCTCCCAACAGAGAGAACCACAGATCTCTAGCTATTTCTTAAGAGGCATTGAACAGGTTACCCGAGTACAAATTAGGAAGCTCAACAAATATTTTCATTTCAAGGACCATTAGACACAGAAAGGAAAAGAGGTCAGGGAAACCAAGTTTCTTACCAAAGAAGGTCCTTTTAAAAAAGAAACAGTTAGAAAATGAAGAAAAATCTAACACCAAACACAAGGCAGAAACATACCTGACAAATTTCCCAAAGAATTGCTAAGCTTTCGTCTGGTCTCTGGAGGCAGAGGGAAGAGAGGAGGCCTGTTAATGCAAAGCGCAGTCCATGTTTCTGGGTTTCTAAGCAGTCAACCAACAGGATTAATCATGTGATAATCCTAGATAGTTCCACTTCACCATCCATTAAAAATGAATGAAATGCTGGTCAATGCCAGCATGGCCCCTCACACCTCTTCTGATCTACAGCAAGCTGTCAAGAAAAACTTACCGAGAAATAGGAAAGTATATATAAATTATTTTCAACTCTCCTTGAGCACAAATATGATTTAAGACCTGAAAGAGATGATTTTGAGATATCTAGAAAGACAGTTACTTGCAGAACTGCTATTTAGTCATCTTCCATGGAGTATCTCAAAGTAGAAAGATGGCATTTGAAATGGACAGCAGCAGGAACAGAGTGCAAAAGCATGAGATTGAGCCACAGTTCGTGGGGTTTCGATGGTCCTCAAAGACCAGAAAGAAAATCAAAATGCCTGGCTCTTCACAGAAGCACTTCAGGCATCAGAGTCTCGGCTGCTCTCCTTGGAGACCACTCAGGTCATGACAGGGTGAGTCAAAGAGGGTTAGGCTCATCTGTGAATTCGTGGGATGCAAGTTCAACAACAGTTCTTGGCTTTCAACTTCCACTACAGGAAATTAGAGTAAAAGCTGCATGATTAATCTTGGTCACAATCTATTTTTTTTCCTCCTTAGGGAACAAGATGTGAAGCAACAAGAGCCCTTTTATATGTATATGTTTTAAACATGCTCTGCCCTGGTCAGCTCACTCTGTGAACTGCAGTGACTCAGACTTCGTGATGCTGTAGCTGGAGTCATTTTGTTGTTTCTTCAGCCGTGTCCTCCAAGCCTCCCAGTATAAGCAGTTATCTTTGATGAACAGTATCTAATCAGTTTGTCTGAGACAATTGGAGGGCAGGCTCCCCAAAGCTCAGACGGAGTCTGATCCAAAAGCCATCATCATGCACTAAGCCTCCAAGATCCTGCACAAGTCAGTTTTTGAGTTTATGTTAATTTTTTGGAGAAAAAAATAGAAACACTTTCATGGCAGAGCAGTATGTTTGTCAATAGCTTTGTAAAATTTCCACCACCTGCCATTTTTTAAATCAGCTTTCACAAGAAATTGAATTTTTGTCTCCGAGAAGAGCCCTGGGCAGGAAGGTTAATGAATTCTATATCACCTGGCTTAAATTGTTTTTGGCTCTGTGTAAATAGTAGTTGCTGTTTGAGTACATCCCAGCAGAATTTTATCCCAATCGAAACATTCCGTGCTTCTCCCCAGGTAATCTCTGCAGAGGAATGACAGACACGGACAGCATAGCTGACCTGCTCACAGATTGACTTTCTTACAGCCTGCTTCTTAGGTGATAGCTATTCTGGGTACACTTTTCATAACTAATGGAATATTATTTCATGTACTCCTTAACCTTGCAGTTTATTTTATACCATGTTCTGACATTTAGTCTTTTTTCCTGCTTTCATTATGGGGTTATCTGAGTGTGTGTCCATCAGCCACTGAAGAAAAGACCTTCCCTAGCCCTCTGCTAGAGTGGGGAATTGTTAAGCCCTTTTCTTCTTGAAGCGTGGCCTCGGGGCCAGTGGGCACTCCCTGGGAGCTGGTTAGGACTATTGAATCTCGGGCCCTGTTCAGACCTACTGAATTCAAATTCTTATTTTAGTAAGACCCCCTAGGTGATTTTTGCACATATTAAAATTTGATAAGTACTGATTTATGAGACAACCAATTTTGTTATCAGTCTTTAGATGCAGGATGTAGCTGTCTGATGCAGAAACCATCAGCTTCCCCTGTCTCTCTGATACTACCTTTTGGGTATTTCACATTTGCTAGATAAATAAAAAGGCTTTCAGAAGTCATTTCTCTTTCTTGTCATGTGCTGCCCAGCTGCAATAAAGGAATAAGCATATTACGGGATGGAAAGCACAAAAGCAACATCTGGTTTGAAAGATCTGCTAAATCTAAAGTACTTCTGTTCTAAAATCTCTTTGGCATGTACAAGAGTGAGAGAAAAATGCCTTCCAAAATTATTTTTCATGAAGAAATAAGAGTCATATCACATGAAGTTATAAACTTATAAAACAAAGACAAAACAAATTTCTAAAGCATAAAAAACTGTAAAGCTTCTGTCTTGGTTGCTTAAGACACAGTGCTTTGAATGCCAGAATAAGGATTGACTACAAACTTGTCCTCTTATCAGGACATTCCATAGATTGATGTCTTTATTGCCCTAAGCACAGACCAGAGCTGCACTCACTTATCCAACATCACTGGGGAACACGTTTTGTTCTCCCCACCCACACCCCATCCTTTGTACGAGAGCACTTAAAAAATCACATGCACGCATGTATCTGTACTCACACACACACACACACACACACACACACACACGGAAGCCCTTCATCTCCTTCACATTCCATTGCTGCTAAAGAAGTTCTGAACACCAATCACACCCACTTTACAACAAATCAAGAACACAAGCACCCCCCATTTCCTTTGTACCTGGCCTACTAATTTTCAGGGTAGGATAATACCAGTGACTCGATCCCAGAATAAGACCCGATGGCATTGTGCAGCCCCTAGGGGACCTGTCCTCTGTAAAGAGCACCTGCCTTCTGCAGCAGCATTCCTTCACAGCTGATGGAGCTCTGGCTCTGCTACTTTCAAACAAGTGTCCTCCTTCCTTGTCCAGGCTGCAGGAACCCACTTGTGCCCCAAGACACTACTAAACTGAAAAACTTTTTAAGTGGGGCAGCTTTTAGATCTGGGAGCAGGTTGGCCATCCAAAGCAGCTAGCATTCTTGGAAGGGTTTAGTCCAATCCAAAAACAGTCTTACCAAAGCTTTTTTCATTATTGCAAATGTTTTCTCAAGTTCTTCTCGTAACTAGCGGTGCATGCTGCCAAAAGGTACTTCTCACACAGGAACGGCATATCCTCCTCCAGCCTCCACTGCACACCCACCCATCACTTCTTTCCTCGGGCCACAATAGAAAGCACATTTTATTTTCATCAGAAACTAATGAGGGGAGAGGCAGAAAGAAGACTGACTTGAACAATGGCATTTCTTCAAGAATCCATTTACTTGTAATTTTTAAATATTTGATTCTTGGACCATTTACTGCAACAGAAAAATTAAGTCTCAGTCCAAGTTACCTGAAAGCCTCTCTCTAAATTAATAAAAGCTTTGCTACTGAATTAAGCACATTGGAATAATCAAAAGATGCCCCCTTATCCAAGCCCATTTTCTCCTAGTCCTCCACTTGTCTGTGGCTTCCAGCAGAGATTGGTGTGACTGAACTTAGGATACATGCATGCCTTCTGGCTTGTTTGGACAAAAAATCTGAGTTGGCTCAGATTTTATTAATGCTGAAATTTTCAGCCCAATTTCCATTGGACTTTGTTTTTTTATTAACCAGTGTTAATATGTCAGTGGGAATATGCTTCAGTATTCAAAACCCTGTATATCAGGGCACCTTTTTAAAAATTCAGTTATCCAGTATGCTAAAGAAATAGAACAGTTGGAGAACTTAAAGTCAAATTTAAAGCCAAAGAGCTTAGGAAATGTTTACTTTACTCCTGATAATGAGGACCTGGAACAGAAAACAGAATAATCCCCCAAAATTCCTTAACATTGGAGACAAGACTTTGTTCTACACTACCAATACAGTGCTGTACACCTGAGCCTCTTTTTTCTGACCCTTTTTCAATTTCTTACTCCTGTTATTAGACATTACCTCCTCAGAGACCTTTAGCCCCCCACCCCCACTTTAGATATTCCAGAATTAAAACCAGCCACTAAACCTCTATATCTCCCCATACATAACTCCAAGCAATTCCATTGATTAAGGGAAGGCTCTTTGTTTAAAAAAAAAAAACCTAGAAGAATCATTTTGCAAATAAGGACCAAGATCCTGCTAAATCCAATAAACCCAATAAAGTGTACTAGAAATTTTCAACAGAAAAAAAAATGTACAGGATTTGCTAAGAAATGTTTTAAATGTTACTTCTTAATAGTTTGCTTTAAAGTATTGGGAAAAAACAAAAAGAAGTGCACATTATTTTTAAGAAAATGCCTCCTGAATGAAGAAGATAAGCAGTCCTCCTAGAAAATTTAATGAAATACAATTTATTTTATCAATGCTACATTATTTTCAATTAGAGATATAATTTATGATCTCAAAAATGCTCTTTGTTACATGAAAGGCCTAATTTAAAAAAGTGAGTTTGGTCACTGCAGCAGAATTTGGTCATTTACTAACCAATGGAAGAAGAGAAGCAACAAGTTACCATTTGAACCAATGGTGCTACTAAAACTAGAAGTAGAATGAACTGTGGCAATTTAGGCTGCATTCAAAAAATGTTCCCATGTGGACAAGAATTTGGGAAATCCCCCCCTCCTTACCTTTTGTTAATTGCAACATAGCAGAGTGGGTTAATTGAAAAATTGCTGAGAGTTTATTTTACCTGAAAGGTAATGGAGCATCTTTCCTGACCAAGCATTCAGCCTTCATCTCTGTGATAGTCTCTGAATTTCCCATCGAGGCTCTGCTCCCTTTCTTCCCCAGTCTGTCCTGTCATAAGCTTTCATTGGAGCTGCTGCAAAGTATCATCTTCAGGGAAGCTATTCAGGAAATCAGACAAAAATTACACTTTACAAATAACAACCCAGGCTTGCCTTAAGCCCCCTCCAGAAGAGACCACATACATGCTCATCAATAAGAATCTGACAATCTGAAATCAATAAATTCAAAGCCTTCTCAGATCAGGAGTGACTTAAAAGAAGCATCCCAGAAAGGCCCAGTGCCCCAGGAAAAAAGGGTCCAGTTCTGTGTCAGAGAAACCCGCCATGTGCTGCCTAGAGCCTTCTGGTCTTGGGACAGTTACTTCAACTCTAGAGCTTTGGTTTTAGCAATAGAAAGAGCACAATAGCAATGCCCAGGAGCATGTTTGACACAGAATTATGAAGAATTTATACAAAACGCCCCACCTATAGAAAGAAACCCATAAACATAAGCAATATTTTTATCTTAATTTGAAAAAAAAAAACAGTGCCTTGCATAAACTTCAGGGGAATAAATATTTGTGGAAATGAGTGAAGGAGAGAGAAGGGAAGAGAAGGAGAAAGGAGCAGGCAAGAGAGGGATTTGAAAAAGATTCATGTTGAGCATTAACAGAGACATTTTCCCTATTTTTCATTAATAACTCTTGATTATAATATCTGTTTAATACATATATTTTTTGAATACCATGAACTAGGAAGACTATGCATTGTTAGCCAGTAGATCCTACACATCAAAGCCCTCCTAGTGACTTTGAAGTTTTTTCTGCTGTTAGAATTAAGTTCCCCTTGCCTCTCACAGCTACACATCAGCACCTGGTCACTGCTATCTCCGACTCCCATCACCTCTGCTGCTACTGAGAAACCCAGTCCCGTCGCAGCTTCCCCTACCATCACCCCCAGCCTACAAAGGGCAACACTACTGCGCTTCTGAGAATGCAGGTGCCCTCACTAGGGCATTCTTTCTAGCTTTTGTGGAGGGAATGTCCATTGAACTCTGCGGGTGAACATAGCCAGCTTTTGAGTTCTCTGGTCTTATGTAATAAACCCATTCTAGCAAACCCACCTCCATGGGCTTGCTGTCCTCAAATATTCTGCCAGGACAGTTTTGGCGTCTTCTCTTCATTAACATAACTCACCATTTTCCCCAAGCTTTATGGAGCCATCCCAAGAGCACATTGCAACCCACTAAATCCAGATGCCCTTGTGAGTATAATCAATCCTGAGTCATGGTGGAATGTCCTTACATAAATAAACTCTTATCAAATCTTATATTCTGCTATGGTCCCCATCTTATCTCAGTGCAAACCCTCATGATCACTGCCAAACACAAACTACTGATGCGTGTTTCCATTTTCCAGTCCAAAAGCAACTCCAGTGGGGAATCTCATTTCTTCCAACACAGAGAAAGTCCATCTCTGTCCCAGGCATCATGAGACTTGACCCCAATTATCCAGGGGGGCTGAGTATCATCATGGAAAGCTTTCTCCCTAAATGGATGCTCAGTCTGGTCTCCAAGCAAGAGGAGGCTGGACTCTTCTAGCAGGTAAAGAGGGTCCCTCTGCTCACCCACCTGTTGTTCCCACCCCCTCCCAGGAGGATCTCATCCCTTCCCTCCGAGGATCTTGACTGAAGACAAGGACATGTCCTTGGATAATGCCCAGGTGGTGCAGTGAGTCTTTTTAATAAATCAGTTATTGTCCAATTAGTTGTGAAGCTTGATTTTCAACACTGTGTTTGCCAAAACTAGGAGAAAGTCCGTTCAACTGCAACTATCATCTCATGCCCTGAGTGTTTAGATTGCACTTACCAACCAACACCACAATCCTGATAATTGCCATTGTTCCTCCCATCAGAGAGAGTGAGCTAGCCAGCACAGACCATTCCTTGTGCACTCATCCCAGTTCACCACAGGACAGTCTTAGTAACTGTGCTGCAACAGCAAGCTTTACCACTCTCATAGCCAACATGGCTGCCCATGGCTCTGGCCAAGCTTCCCTTAAGATATCTGTGTTGGATTTTACCCATTTTGTCCTTAGATCTGCTCATCACTCTTCCACCTGCTTCCCAAGCAGCCAACATTTATGGATTGAATGAATGGACTCCTTTACAATCTACCTTCATTTGATTTGGCAGATCAGGGCATGGAAGGATGGTGAGGTTGGGGTGTTAGCTCCCCTACCTCCCTACCCACAATGCCTCAGTTTGGTAATGGCTGCATCCTCCTACCAATGCTGCTATTGGGCATCCTCTCCTGCAGTTCTCTTTGGGGTCTGATAATCATTTCCTGTTCTTGTTCCTTCTACCTGAGGTTACCCGTTTAGAAGCATTTCATGTCCCTTGTTGGTTCCCTTTAACTCTGCCCACACATTTAAAGTCTCTTCATTAAACTCTCCACAATGTCCAATTGCCATGTATCATTTGTTTTCTTCCAGGTCCTCATGGATGCTGCGGTCTTCTCTCAAATTCTGCTTCTGTCTTTTTCCCCCTAAGTTTCCTGAAGAAGCAGATTTTTCTCACACACACACAAAAAAAAAAAAAATCCTGAGGGAAGTTCTTAGGGATGGGTTGAAAACATTGAGTATGTTTCCTCATCAGCACTCACCATCCCAGCAGAGACTCCAGGCACTCAGCTGCTCTTGATACTAGGTAACTCTTGCCTACCAACAGATCTGCACTAAAGACGGGTGGATTTGGCTCTGTGCTTTGTTCCCAGATGTCCACCCCAGAGCCCCAGTTCTTGACATCAACCCCAACATTTGATTTAGAATTTTTGTGGTGATTTGTTGATTCCTTATAGCAGCCAGTTATGACATACCAGAAGAATGAAGTCACATTGGGTCACCTTTGGGGTTCTGACCCCAGCCATTTGTGTTCTGTACCCAAGATGACATCTTGGGTTAATTAACATGTGATTAAAAATAACCTCATAGTTCATTTTGTGTACTGTGATTCCAAGTACATTGAAAACTAAAAAGACTTTTTTGAAAGTTTTCATGAATTCAAAAGACAGAGGACATGCTTTATTGGCTTTAGTATAGATTTTCTGGCATATTGTGAGAAAAACAGAACAAGATTAAATTTAACCCCCAAAATGTCAGAATTAAAGATACTTGGATCATACTAGAGTTTACAAAAAGTCAGAGAACCAGCTGCTGTAAGATTTTAGAAGGACAAGAACAAGACAGCCACAGAATTTTTCTCTGAGCCAGCAGTGCAGTTTTACCTCTACAGACATGAAATTTCTGAGTTTTATAAGTTACAATTTAAATTTAAAATACGCTAAATGGGGAAGATTATTTGTAATTGAATATATCTTTGGGAGAGTGTCCGTGAGTCTAAAAACATGAGTTTTATTTCTTAAGTTTCTAAGCTTAAATGATAGCTATCAGTGTTGTTTTTTTTTTTTCTGAGTTTTTTTTTTTTTAATCAAAAAGGAGCTTTTTTTATTAAGAAGCTTAAGGGAACTTCAGGAATCTAGCTTTGGAAAAGAAACCCCTAAATTAAGAAAACTGTTATTTTGTTATTATTATTATTATTATTGTCCTTCCTTCTTTAACCTAAACTCTTTTTATTTCTTGTATAGATAATTACTCAGTTAAAAGGAAAAGATCTTTTCTGTAAAGACCTTGCAGTTGGATTTCCTTTGTGGGCAGGAGGATGGAAATATTGGTTTTATTCGTTTCTGACCCATTGATCATAAATCCAGTTGAAGATCAGTCATCAAATAGGAGAAGAGAATTTAAAGACTTTCTAGCCCTGTTTCCTAGTTACACCTATTACATTTAAACCACTGGCATAACATAAGCCCAAATAGGGAGAGGATATTGAGATACAAATTATCTTTTAAGACTCAAAGTAAAGAAAAATTAGGATGTGCATGTAAACCAGAGAAACTAGCAAAAACACAAATACTATTTTGTATTTTCAGCCTAAGTCAGCTGCCTCTGGGCCTTATGTCAGAGCTAGAGCTGAGGGAGACAGGTAGCCTCCTCCATGGGGGTGGTCAGAATTGAATAGTCCTTGAATCCAGGGGTAAAGTTGCTTGCACTGCCTGTGCAGGTGGGTCTGTGAGGTTCAGGCCACCAGCTGTTGTACAGGCCGCACCAGCTTCAGATGGTCTCGCACTCTGTGGTGTCCGTAGAGCAGGCCCCGCAGTCACAGCGGATGGCCACAGGGTAGGTGTAGAAGGGGTCAACCCCTGGGGCACAGTTGGGCAGCTTGACCGTCACCTGTTTGGTCTCATTGTAGGTGCAGACTCGATGATGAGCTTCAATGTAGGGGGGTTCCAGAATGGGCTTCTGTCCCCACAGGGAGAAAACAAGGAACCCATTAGAACATAGCATCCTGCTTCATTTTCTTGGTGCAACGAACTCACTCCTCATTGGTTGACTTGTTAATCTGTCTCCTCCCAGTAGAAAGCAAAATTGTGAAATCAAGAAGCTGACTTTGTTCGCCACCATAGTCTGAACCCCCAGAAGTGGCCGTGGCACACAGCACATGCTTGAGGCCTATTTCTCAAATGAACAATGTTGATCATAGCAAAAGTCTCTGACTGACTCCTCTCTTCTACCGTCTGTTTCCCCCTATAGTCTATTTACAACAGGGCATGCCCAAGTGAACCTTTTAAAACATGCCAGATCACATCTCCCTTCTGCGCAAAGCCTGGGAGAGACCTCATCTCACTAAGAGTAAAAGTCATTGTTCTTCCCTGAAACTTCCCCTTGCCTATGTCTCTGGGTGACCCCAATTTCTGACTTCCTAACTGCGCCAGTCCCAATTGTCTCCTGACAGTTCCTCAAACCCAACAAGAAATCAGTTCTACTCCAGTGCCTTGGCACTGACTGCCCCACCATCTAAATGCTCTCCTCCCTCAGGACCCACTCCTTCCCAAATCTTAGGTTTCTGTTCAGAGAGCACCCTCTCTGGGGAACATTTCCTGACCAATCTACTTAAATTGCATCACTCCACCTTCAGACCCTGTAACTTCCTATTCCTCTTTCTGCTTTTTTTTCCTCCATAGTGCTTGTTGACACCATGTGACATTATTTTATTTATTTGTCTTGTGTTTCTCTCATTCTAGAAAGTAAGTTCCCTTAGGACAAAGGTCTTTACCTATTTTACTCTCTGTTGTATCTCAACTATCTAGAACAGTCCTGACCCCCAGGAGTCTCAATAGCTACTATTGAATCAATGAAAGAAACCAGAGCAAGGCAGCCTCCTGAGGGTCCTGTGCTCTACCCTGATAACTGAAGGACTCACTTCCCTCCTGCACCTTTTATGAATCTTGAGTTCATCAATAATTTTGATAAACTAAACATATAGACCATAAAATCAGCACAAAGCAGTAAAGTCTCCAATCCTGGGTGAATGAAACAAGTTTGCATATGGAACTCCCAAAATTATAGGCAAAAATTGGCAAATCAGTAAATTTGAAAAAAAAGATAAAATCTCAAATCCTGAAGTTCAGACCTGTTGGGCTTGAACCCTTGCTCTTCCACAAGCTGGAAACCTTGAAGCCTCAGTTTTCTCAGCTGTAAAACAAAATACCTACTTGACAGCACCGCTGTGGCGATCAGCTAAGATAACATAAGTAATGTCCAAGGCCACTCACTAGTAAGTGTTCAGTAAAAGTAACCTGTTCTTATCAGAGCACTCAGAGGAGTAAGGAAGTAATGATAAAAATAATAACTTACAAGATTTCAAAGGACATGACCTTCACTTGTCCTGGGAAATGAGCTGTGTTTAATGCATGAATGTCACGAAAGGCTTCACCTTTGACAAAGGCCATGTAGAGAACTGAACTGAACCTCAGCTGCATTCTTCTTACTTCTCAAATAGCATTTTACCTTTCCTCAGTTTGCTTCCCCTCCTCTTACCCTTGGTAATCTGGAATCCCAGGAAAGGTTGCCAACATAAAATTCAGGAAACCCAGTCAAATTTTAATTTTGAATAAACAACAAAAATATACTGCTGTATAAGTGTGTCCCCAAATATTGGCTAGGAGAAACTTGTACCAAAATTTTTTTTTCAATTGTTGTTTAGCTGACCTTCAAGTTTAACTGGTATCCTGGTTTGGTTTGGTTTTAGTTTTTGCTAAATCTGGCAACCCTAAACCCAGGTCATGAGCAAAGGCTATTTTCAGGAGCAGTTCCATCTTCAAAGTAAAGCCAGTCACTTTGTCATCACTCTGTTAACTTAACATGGGGAGCATTTGCAGACATCCTCCCCAGTTAAGTTACCAAAAATAAATGCTTTATATTGCAGAAGTTTCCAGTCTGCTGGAAAAACAAATATCATTCTTTTATTTATTTTCTAGAAGTAGCCTCCCTTTCCTTAGCACAGTAAAGGCAGAAAGAAAAACTGGTTAACATGAAGGAGAATCTTGCTCTTTAGTGGTCTTCATGCTTCCATTTCTCCAGAGAGAGCACAGTTCTTGCCCGCCCACCAGTGACCCTGACCTCATTAAAGAAGAGAAGATGAACAGAATTTGTCAGAAGATGGGCTAATTAAAGGGAAGCATTCATTTGATATTTTGACCCAGAAAGAGCTCCAAATGGCCCAGATACAGGCTACAAGCAGGACAGGCACCATCAGGGTGATCCCTGATATCAAGAAGGTACAAGTGCCCCCCAAGTATGTTTGCTATCAAGTCAGCCAGGGTCCCCTTAGCAACTGAACTTTCATTTTGCTATTATCTCTTATGCTCCTGAATGATGCAAAGATAAAGCTAGTTTGATAGAGCAGTTTCCTTTAATTTGGGGGTTCCATCACAATAACCCAACCCCATTTATGGGGCCATAGTTTTATCTAAGTCATAGCCGGTTGCTCTCAAAGTCCTTGAATAGAAAAATGTTTTTCCTAAAGGCAATGTCCTCTCAAGTTCCTTACAGAGTTCCAGGTTAGCCTTGATTAGGTTGGAGGATGTATCACTCCAGGTAGAAATCAACCCCTTGTCATTCAACTGGTATTTACCGAATGCGTGTCCATATATGACACTTTGACAAGAGCTATAAAAGGCACAAGAAAGAAGCTCTGTCCTCAAAGATATAACTCCAGTGTGTGTGGTGATGGTAAATCAGAAAGGCTTAGAGAAGCATTCACACAAGACAAAGACGTGGAGAAATAAATTTGATAATGGTGAATAGAAATAAAAATGGCTATAATTAAGGGACCAGAGGTGAGAGCTTTCATGAGGGTAATTTAATAAAACCTTTAAAAATCAGTCTAACAAGACTAGCACTCTGGAAACAGTCAGTGTGAACACAGGTAAACACCGTATTTCTGAGGACCTTGAAAGCTGGCTATTGAATTTGAAGTAGCAGGAGGGCATTAAAGGTTTTGGGGATGGGGTGACAAGTTCACATCTGGCACTTCATTGTAAGCAACTCGGGCCTCCATGGGAAGAGTCAATAGTCAGGATGGTCCTCTTTCTCCTCCTCCCTCAAATTACTCCCCATCTCAACCCAATAGGGTTCTAACATTGCTTGAGATTTTTATTTTGAATGAAGTATTTTAAATGTGATGACTCCAAAAAGATCCGATTATACTTGACTATCCAGGAATTCAGTAGATCTGCCACTGATAATCCCAAAGAATTGTAGGGGAGAAGGGGCAGGCGGAGAGGGGGGTCAGGGGATTCGCAGGTGAGACACTGAAGGAGGGGCTGGGTCCTGCCCTCCCCTGCTGGGTAGGCCTCTCCCTTAGTAACTGTCTGGCTTTTTCACAGGTGGAGGAATCTAGGGAGGAGTTTGAATTACAAGCTTGAATTAAAATTTCCACTGACTCTCTAGGTGACTTTGGGGTCACTCACCCTTTAATTCTCTATGTCATCTATAAAATGGGTGGAATAATAGCACACCTGACCTCCCAGAAGTGATTCCCAAATACATAGATACCATGCAAATTAAATTATTGATTTCATCAGCATTTTGTCAGGGTTTTGTTAAGATTACTTTCTGCAGAGGACTTTTGAAGGATGCCAAATAATTGTTATTCAAAAAAATCCACAGGAAAGGGTAGACAATCCATTGCTGTCTCATTTCATTAAAAAAGTAAACACTTAGGAGTCAAGTGGCTCACCCTGGAGGCATTGTCACTTGGGCCTATCTCCGGACTCACCTCCCAGGTTTCACATCGGCCCCAGCAGGCATCCGTGGTGATACGAAGTCCCCTGCAGCCCGGCTTCTTGGCCAGGAAGGTAAATTCCCTCACGGCACAGCCTACAAAGGTGCGCAGATTCCCGCTGGAGGTGCTGTGGACACAGCCACGGCCAGCCAGGAGCAGGAGGCCCATGGAGCCAAGGAAGAGGTAAGCCACCTTCATGCTGTTCTTCCAGAGGGAAGGAAAGAGGTTATTAACAGATTCAGCTGCCCTCCACAAAGCTGTCAATAATATGTTTGTCATAATCTAAAGGACCTTGCTCTTCATATTTTTGGAGAAATGGTCCAAGAAATTGTAAAAGGCCACAAACCCACAGAGATTCCAAAATTTGCTGTAGTTGGCTCCAGTATTCCATGGACCCACTGTGTTCACTAGACACCAAAGGGCATTCCAGGCTTTTCTTATTGTGACCCAACTCCTGGACTTGACTTGTATATTAAAGAAGTTTGTCCTATGGTCTCTTCAAAATGAACACAAAATCTGAATCACCCCAAAAGTAAAGCATACTCAAGCATAATACATGAATGCCCATAAATTATTTTTATTTAGATCCAAGTACTTGGGTGTGATGCTACATGCCTTTATATTTTCAATGTCATGGAAGGGGGGAAGTAAATAATATTTGTAGGTCCCTTTTGTATTGTTACCAACCCAACCCACTTCAAAACAAAGACATGTGGACAATATTATTAAGCCTAACCCACAGCTCAGTGGCCATTCATAAAAATGCTTGCTACAAACTGCCCTGTTCTATACCCTTGGTGTCATAAACAACTTACGGTGATTCAATTTAAATGTGAATGATGGAAAGCATCAAATATATTTAAACCATAATTCCAATCTACTGCAAGTCTATCCTCTCAGTCTAACTCATTTTCTGTGCTTTTTCAGGAAACAGAATCATCCCTTCCTGCATGGCCCACTAGACAGCACATACCTGGATGCTGAAGTGAGATGGACACTACTCTACTGGATCACCTCCAAAAGCATTACTTCCTAAAACAAGCTGAGAAGTTAATGACTTCCAAATCTGATCTCCTGGTGACTACTTCTGGCTTATCATGTCAGCGGGGCTCTCCAGACGTCCCCTCAGGTGGAATAAAATGACAATCTGGAGAAGCACTTACCTGATTTTGCTGGATCTAACTCTTCTTTTGGAGCTGAAACTTGCACACAAGACTTCAGAAAGTCACGACGAGTGGTAGAAGTTTGCTCTGGGTAAATGTCTCTACCCTGTTACTGGGCTGCTTGATTGCCCAAATATATAGACAGATCTTGTCAATCAAAACAAAAGAGAGGCAGATCCTTACTGGAACCACTAAACACATCAAAGCCCTGGATATAAAGCCAGTCTCTATTTTCCAAAACTGATTAGCTTAAAGGGTGTTGCTTTGTTTCTTAACATCATCTACTGGAACAGAAAGTTACCTTGGTGGGTGACATAATCCCAGGGAAACAGTCAAAGGTAGTTCACCTGGTTCTCTGGGAGAACAAATGCACTGGGGCAAGGTGGATTAAATTTTCCTTTGTGGTAACCACAAGTTTCCTTTGATACAAGTCAGTCTCTAGCAGCTCATGGCAAACTCTTTCCTTTAACTCACAACATGTTTCAATACATTTAAAAAAAGCAAAACAATAATTCTTCCTGGAACAAACTTGGGATCACCAATTGAAAGGATGGAATCACAATAAGAAGGATTATTTTGAAAGTCTTAAAATTAGTTAGGTATTAAATAATATTAATAACACATTAAAATGAATCATAGGGAAAGAACACCAATATGTTCAAAGTGATTATCTTCCAGCATGGAAATGAAACATGACTTTTCATTTATTCTATACAGTTTCCTGCATTTTTCACATTTTTTCATCGAACAGACTTTCATATTAGAAAATCATTTAATATTGATACTTTAACATAGACCAATAAATAAACATTTGTGCTGCATAAAGAGTATTCATTGCTGGTCTAACAGAAGTTTACTGTTTGATTCACAGTTCTTGAAAGTCTAAACTAAGAATGAAACAGTCTTCTTTATCACTATGGAACATAGTTTTTATTCCGGTCTGCAACAGCAGCATACAGATGGATGAAAAAGCTAGCTGTTCAAAGTTGTATTCTGGGTGCTCTAAAAAATAAATGAAGCAGACATTGTTGTTGCCCTTAGGAGTTTACATATCACAGCAAATAATGATGCAGAGAGATTAAGGTGCACATTAAATAAATGATACTAAATAAGTTAAAACATTTCCATTTTCTGCAAAGAAAAGTGTTCTTTAAATAAACACGTCACTGATTAAGGGTTTGATTTTTCAAAGCAGATAACAACCTTCACCGCTAACACATCAATTACCTATCTCTAGTATCAGATTATTGAATGTGTAGAAAATTGAACTGGGCTTGCAATAAAGGACTCCACTCAGCCCTCCATCCTGTCTGTGGCATATCTAGAAATGGGACACGGTGGAAACAACTGTCTACCTGGCATAATCTTCCTTGCCAAGAACTAGCCAGTGGGAGGTGAGCAGTCATCCTGAGGGGGTTCTGAAGAGCTCTGTTCAACCCTTTCAGATTAGACCTGAAACATACATTGTTGAGTCTGCAATGTCACAATATGAAGAAGTGCAGAGCTGTATCATCAATGCCTCCTCCCCATCAGCATTAACCTTTCAATCACAACAATTTATAGTTAATACAGAGCTACGAGGTACCAGGCTTCATGAAATCTGCTATGTTCTCACATATGCTATCCCAAGTCTTGCAACAATTCTGTAAATCAATGATTATTTTCTCCTTTTTACTTTGGGAGAATTGAGGCTCAGTTATTCTGTCATCTTGTTGCTTCCAAAGCACTCCAGATCCCTGGGGATGGCAAATAGGTTTGTTTCATCCCTGAAACCAACTCCAGTGAATTGGAAGTGACTGGAACACTGTGTTGGGCATATGAAACTATTCCCAGTGCAAAGGGCAGTGTCCATCAGTTTCATCACAAGTGTAGAAAAAGAAAGAGTGGAGGCTGCTTTTTGCAGTTCTTGCACTGGGCCATGCCACATGCCTCTCCAAGGCAGAGTGAGAGATCTGATTCCTACAGACTCTCTCTGCATCGTGCTCTGTGCAGCTGCCAACTTCCCTCCCACTGAAGATCCCACCATTAAAGTCACTCTCTTGAGATGGCAAAGATGTGAGCAATGTTTCCAAACATAGGCCATGAAGAATCTTCTCTTGCCTTGTTCCGTTATCATCTTCATATGGATTCACTGTCAGCTTGGATAGATACAGATTCAGATTCACTAGGACAAGAAGACAAGAAAGGGCTGTAAAGGAGCAATCATCTTGAGGTCTGGAGAGCATGATAGCAAGAGGTGTGTGGTGAGGGCCAGTGTCCTGAAGGGTGACTGAGCAACTGCCCTTCCAGCTAGTGAGGGCCTGGGGTGCACACTGGGCACAGGAGATGGAGACATCACAAGAGCCCGGCAAGTCTCTCTTCCCTGGCTCGGCCATCCTGACTCTCAGCAGCAGAACTTTCTTTGTGATTGCTGTGGACAAGTCTCTCAGCTTCAGTTTCCTCATCTGTAACACAATGGGATTGAACCCACGACTTGTAAATTCCTTGCTAGCACCAGAATTTAAAGATTTACAAGCTGTTTTATAAACAGAACAAACTGAGCATGAGTCAGATGGAGAACCAACTAGATATATGACAATAAAGTCATTCAGATTTGTGTTCAGATTTCAACTTTGATACTTGCCAGCTAGTGATCTTGGGCAAGTCACATAAATCCCAGCTGCCTGTAAAACTGAAGATGCTTCATGGGGTTTGTGTGAGGATTCTACAAAATAGTGTCTATAAATTGATTATCTCAGCACCTGATATATGGTAAGCAGGCAATACTTACTACTTCTCTTTCCTCCCCAGGAAATACATCTTATGGCACACCGTTCATTATTAGGCACACCCTGTTTTCAAAGATTTTTAATGTGAAAAAATGTTAGTCTGAGACAAGAAGTAGTAAAATCTCTGGGGACTGTGGGAAAGCACCGGTATTCTGAAGTCAGAAGGCAGCTGGGCATCAACTAGGCTTCCCCAGCCAGCTAGTGCTTCTTTGTTCTGACTTCAAATTAAAATTAACATCTTCAGTTGTAAACAAACAAAAAAAAATGTCCAAAGTGTTAGATTTAATTTTTAAGCTTTGGAAGTCCAAGTTTTACCATAGTTTCAAAATTTAATACACTAACAAATATTCACTAGTACTCCTGAACAATTTCAGTCCAACTGAGTAAACCAGCACTTACTGAGTAGCCACTGCCCCAGAGGAACTCTGCTGCCTGCTGCATACTTACAAGGATCTCTTAAGGGATCAGAAAAGATGCACAGACTCTCCTGGGTTTTTCCCCTACTGTCCTTTCTGAACACCCAATGCTCTGTCTACACATCAAATTAATTAGTATTGTGAAGTAACTAAAAAAACCACAGATGAAGCTGTGTGTTTCCAGGAAGTAAAATTAGTGATAGTGTGCAAACACGTATAAAAAAGGTCAAACTTGGCTTTTACAAAGTTGTATGTTGTTTATCCCTTATTGGTGTGGAGGAGGGGCAGAGTGGGCCAATCTGGGCTTACAAATGGAGATGAATGGTGAAGTCTTAAAAAATTAATTTTACTGAAAAAATAATTTCTTCCTTTCAAAGCACTGGGTATTTGTGAGACAGCTTCTCATTTTATTGACTTAGAAAGATAACATTTGCCCAAGATGATGGTGCAGTTTCTATGGCAACTTTTTTTTAACAAGGCTAAAAATAATGAAGCCTGTGTCTGATATACTAGGACAAGTCAAGGCTTTCTCCACAATCATCTAAAAGAAGTATCTGTCAGTTGTCACAGATTTATTTCAGATGAAGGGGCACATGGTTTAGGCACTGAAGTGGAATTTTTTTTTTTGGCCTGACTCTTCCACTTTTGAAAGTCGTAGCTTTGCAGGGCATGGCAGACATATGCCTAATAGCGAGGAACAGAGAACAATTTAATGAGTCACAAAGAAGCATTCTTTACTTCAAGTGCATCCTGTATTCTCACTAGAATGAGTTCACAAAGCTGCCCGATCCCCAACCCCTTCATTTGTAATTCCCCAGGCAGTCACACAGAAATGGCCAGTGTTGTCAGCTAAACTTCGAAGCAATAGCACCTCATTTGTTAGCTACTGGCTTTGTTCCGGAATGAAGTTGCCAGGATCATGGCCCCAGAGTAGGAGCGTATCTCTGCGTGTGCCTTTCTTTGGGCTTGAGTGACAGAGCCAGGTGAGGGGAGGATGTGGGATAGAGGAAGAGGAGAAGTCCTCTACTCTCCAGAGTGTTCACAACTTAACGCATTTATTAAGCAACTACTGTATGTCAGGCAGGGCTTTACACTGGAGTCACTGAGTTCATTTAAAAAATGAAAAATGATGTTCAGAGCCATGGGAGTAGAATAGCTAACAATGCCAGTAATGATGGATTTCTCTCCTCCTTTCATCTCTTTTTTTCTCCTTTCTGTCCTGTATTTTATTGACTGTTACCATAGGTTAGACATATGCTAATTACATGTGATGCACATATGACTAGAGCTAACAACTCAAAGACTCGATAATCTAGTGAAGAGGATAAATAAACCAAAGTACATTGACCAAGAATTGCACTCTTGGGTGTTTATCCTAGAATAATGGAAATTTTTATTTTTACAAATCTTGTACACAAATGTTTGTAGCAGCTTTATTCACAATAGCCCCAAATTGGAAACCACTCAGATGTCCTTCAACAGGTAAGTGGTTAAACTATGGTACATCTATGACATGGAACAGTACTCATCAATGAAAGGAAACAAACACACAACTTACCTGAATTTCCTGGGCACCATGCTGAAGGAAAAAGTCCATTCCTGAAAAGTTACTGACTGTGATTCTTTTTATGTAACATGCTTGAAATGACAAAATCATGGAAATGGAAATCTGTCAGGTTAAGGAGAGTAGGGAGTTGGAGGAATGTGGATGTCGGGTGATGTTATAAAGAGCAACAGGAAGGAGTTCTGTAGTGATGGAAATGTCTGTCTCTTGACTGTGGTGGTGGCAACATGAAGAAAATTAATAAAAATGCACAAAACTAAACACATGAAAACAAGTCAAACTGGTAAATCTGAAAAAGATGGATGACTCCGTCAAAGCCATTAACCCTAGTTGTGATATTGTACTGTAGTTTTGAACATAAAAAGCACTGAGGAAAATTGAGTAAAGGGTATATGGAATGTTTCTGTATTAATTCTTTTATCTTGAGAGAATTTCAAATTCTCTCAAAAAATGAAATCAATAGAACATTCAGTGGGATGGATAAATGCTATGACACAAATGAAGCAGCGTTGCTGTGAGAGCTTGCACTATAGGGGACTGTCAGGAGAGACTTCCTAGAGAGCAAACTCCAGCGGAGAGGAATTCATTCCAGGCAGAAGAAAGCACACAGTGATTCCAAAGTGGAGTCATTGAGACTTTGAAATTAAGAGCAAAATTTTTGCTTGATTCACTGCTATTTCCCAGACTAGACACTGCCTGACTCATAATTGGTTATCAAAAACTGTTTGTGGAATGAATAACTAAAGGCATAAAAATATGTGATGAGTTTAGGAAGCCACAATGAGTCACCATGGTTGAGCATAGGGTGGTTTCAGGAAGAGACAGGGATGAGGACAGTCTTATCAGGTAGGCTGCAGGTCAGGTACTATGAGAGATTCCACCTTTGTTCTAATGTAAAGGAGAGCCATTTTTGTGCACAATAAGGAGATAGAATGAAGCAAAGCCACCAATGAGGGAGGTTGTTGTGGTGAGTAGTACATTGCTAACAACCTCAGATATTGGAAGTCCTTCGGGATAAGTCCTATGTTGGAAGAAGGTGTCCAATAGAAATCAAATTCAAGCTCAATAGGCAATTTTAAATTTGCTAGTAGCCTTATTCAGACAGTAAAAGGAAACAAGTGAAATTAATTTCATTGATTAATTTCATTGTGATAAGTTCTAGAAAAAAGCTAGATTGTGTTTCCCAATATTATCCAAAATGTTTGCATTTCAACTTTTAATCAACACAAAACAATCTTAAGGAAATATTTTACAATCTTTTTAAATTCTTTTTTAATACTAATTCACCAGAGTCTGACCTGTGTTGATATCATATATAATTAATAGCACTTTTCAATTCAAACCAGACACATTTGAAGTACTCAAGAGCTACACATTGTGTTACCATATTGGTCAGTATACACCTACTGTATAAATGGCAGGAATTATTTGAACTCCTTCTAGACTCTTCATGTGTCTTGTCTATTAATTCTCACAACAGTTCTATGAAATATTATTCACCTTCAATGATGAGGCAACTGAGACTCAAAGAAATTAAACAAATGAACCCCAGCCCTCCAGCTATGGACCTAGGATTCATATTCGGCTCTAACTAGTTTTTACTATATTGGTCTGCTTTTAACCACATTGCTATGTTGTTTCAGTGAAATACCTGGAATATAGAAAATGGACCATTAGATCAAACTTATAGAAATATCTCAGGCCTTATCAACTTAGTGCATGTA